TTGCAAAGAAGTCCTATTTCTTCTGTTGAATGTCTCCAGGCATGGGTTTTCAGCTTAGTGGCTTTGGTGGGAGAGTCCTCCCACTCTGACCCTTTTGAAAATAAAAACTGGATGGCTACTTCCTCTTTTTGTTTCTGATTTCCCCCCCCAATTTTACTAAGGGATCGTCCAGAACCTAAATTAGCCTACATTTTCTGAGTCTTGATAGAAGTCCTATTTCTTCTGTTGAATGTCTCCAGGCATGGGTTTTCAGCTTAGTGGCTTTGGTGGGAGAGTCCTCCCACTCTGACCCTTTTGAAAATAAAAACTGGATGGCTACTTCCTCTTTTTGTTTCTGATTTCCCCCCCCAATTTTACTAAGGGATCGTCCAGAACCTAAATTAGCCTACATTTTCTGAGTCTTGATAAACATAGAAGGCAACTGGTGCCTTAGAAGGTTTTATGTGGTTGACATAAATACAGTATGATATAATATAGCAAATATATATAGCACCCATCAAGGTGGCAAACAAATGTTGCTAAAAAGCACACTTGATGCAGCAGCCTTACTGAAATACATTAATCTGATCTCCATGAATACATGATGGAAAACTTCACTATAGACCAGCGACGGCGAACCTATAGCACGCTTGCCACAGCTGGCATGCAGAGCCCTTTCTGTAGGCACGCGAGCCATACAAATATATATAGTACCCATCAAGGTGGCAAACAAATGTTGCTAAAAAGCACACTTGATGCAGCAGCCTTACTGAAATACATTAATCTGATCTCCATGAATACATGATGGAAAACTTCACTATAGACCAGCGACGGCGAACCTATAGCACGCTTGCCACAGCTGGCATGCAGAGCCCTTTCTGTAGGCACGCGAGCCATAAGTCGCTGGATTGCTACCTCTGGCAGCCAAACCTGAGGAGGTGGCTGCAGCCACGATGCTAGCACCCCGACAGGCAGTGGGCCAGGATCTGGAGCAGCTGGCGCTGGCGGCAGCAGGCTGGCCAAGCTATAGGCAGGGGCAGGGTTGGGCATGACTGGAGGCGGATCTGGAGTGGGTTTGGAGCCACCTCCGTGCCCAGGATTTCCTCTTCCGGCACTAGTTCCACTTCCGCCACTGCCACCACCAATTTTTTTTTCAGTTTGGCCACTCAGGATCAAAAAAGGTTCACCATCACTGTTATAGACTATCATGCTTTAATTTCCCTGGTGGAAGAAAACAGGGTTAAACATGCAATTAATTAAGCTGAAATATTATAGGTTGTACATTCAAGTTATAACCTGCTGGCTGCATAAAGTATTAACACATTTACACAAATGTAAAAGGCATTCATATAGCCAGTGTAGTATAGTGTGTGTGTGGGGGGGGGAATGTTAGACTAAGAATCAGGATATCAGGGTTCAAATCCTTGCTCAGCCATGAAAAGTTGCTGAGAAGGGTGGAAATGGTAAAACCACTTCATTACAGTTGTCATAAATCAGAAGTCAGAATCGACAACTCATCAGATACCCAAAGGCACTGAGGTATTCCAGCCTTAAGTAACATTCTTTGCATGCCTGTAATCAAGCATTTTAGTAGATCTTATATATTTGCAAACACCTTCTTGATGGCTTTCTTCAAGAACAGAAAACAGTGAACCATCTTCCAGTTGCATGTCTGGATTTTTTGGAAGCTGTTTTAGATGACCAGGATTGGTTTAACTCAGTAAATTCCTGCTGGCATTACCAAGCATGTACATTGTTAGATTTCTGCCTAGCTCTGTTTAAAATGTAAGCTTATCATTAAAAGCTCTGTAGTATGAATGGAATTGATTGTCTTTGGCATTCAGGTAATAAAATCTCTGGATTTGTTGGTTCCACAAACTTGCTATTTATCAGGAAAATGGCATTTATAGTCCTGACCATATGGTACATATAAATGGGACTAAAATTAGGCCATATAAACTTCAAAAATAATAATCTGAGTAAATATCAGCGTGAGCTTATGGCCTTCCCCCATTTTTCATGTATTGCAGTCCTATATTTTACCAGCTTAGAAGGAGTGTTGGTGGACCCCTTAAACTGTTACCCATTTCCACTGTGTGCGTTTACAATTTATGTGGGATTTGTGGACTTAAAGTCTCATTGACTGTGATACTTTAGTCAAGATGGCTTTGGCTTTATGTAATTCACTTCTTTAATGTGTGGTCTGCCCGTTGGGGAAAAACATAGTGTGGTACTGTGAATGAAACCTACATGGTCAACAAACAAAGGTCTTTGTTATACTTTGGGTGGCAAATGTGAGCTTGCATAATTCATTGTTATTGCTTCACATTACTGCAAACGCAGCAAATTACTGCATGTATGGTTTGAGTTCTAATCAAGATGAATCATTACCAAATAAAATTAAATCTTAATGGAAGATAATATTTACCCATACTTTTTTTACTTCACTGTACTACATAGTTCACCACCATAGAAATATATGGTTGGATTCAGATCTAGTCATACTTAAAGTAGACCCATTTAGCTGTATCTCATGAGCATCTACTGGGTGGAAAGTCCCACTAGTAGAATAATGCAGGACTGAATCATTTGCATTATTGTTGTGCAAGCAGTGATTCCCTTGAAGAAAACTGACCCTCTACTTACACCATGCAATGCTTGCATCAGCAGTAAAATCACACATTATTATGCTGGTCCAGCTTTTGGCTGAGGGAAAGCTTTGTACTTGCCATGTAAAATCAATGGGATCTATGTTATTCATGGTTATCTATAACCCAAAAGTTTGAACAAGTCTAAGTATGACTGAATCAGACTCCAATTCATAATAATTATCATGACTGCAGTCATATGGCAGGAAATGGGCATGTCTGATTTGACCAGAAAGGGTCACTTTGTATGGAGAAATCTCCCTTAAACAACTCCTCCATCTGTTGGGGAATACTTCCAGACTGGTCCAGTTTGGGCACAGCTTGGGACATGGGTCAGGGGTCAGGGTGGAGCGCAACTCTTCATACATTGTATGATCTCTAGGAAATAGATTGCACTCCACAAGGGATCCCAAATGTGATCTGTTTCTCATGTGACCACACCCAGTATCTGTTACCATAAGCAGGTCATGCCACACCTCCCCTGAAATTGTATGGTAAGGTTTTTCCCATATGGGACCATTCCACCCCACTAGAAGCTTCAAAGAAAATGGTAAAATCCTGATATTACTTCTAGTTCATTTTGTTTTGGAAGGTATTTCCCTGTTACAGGTTTTGGAAGGAGATGGGCTTCTAGGCCATTAAAGTATAAGAGAGGAGAAATGTGCAGCTATCTTGTTTTGGTATCTGACATAGGTTAGAAGAGATGAATGAGATGTCTTCATTTTTTAAGGAAGAGGGTTTTGAGCCTACCATTCTCTGGAGGCTTCTTTCACTTTTAGTATCTATTAATTAAGGAAGGACCGTAAAATCAGAGGCCCTCCAACTGTTGCTTAATTCACATCAGCCACAATGTGGACACTAATGACAGATATCCGAGGTAGTAACACATCATCATATGAAAGGCCACCCATGTTTCATACCAGATAGACTTGTGGATGTGATGACAAGGGCCATTTAGTGGGATGAACTGGGATATTCTGACTCATGTAAGCAAAAGTCTTTCCCATTCACCATGGCTCAAACTGAAAGCCCATTAATGGG